AGCTCAAGTGTATAATATTTGCGCATCAGTAACAATTTAAGCTTAACCCATTGCCGCCGGGGAAAATGAAAAAAAAATGGGGAAATGCAGTACTCGTTTTTTTATATTTTTGTGAAATATCTCTGTCCATAGATGGCGGGAAAAAAACGTATTTTTACTAGTGCTATAAATATAGATGGTGTTATTTTGAACAGCAAATTAGGATAACATTAAATATTTTCGTAAATCGATGAAAAGGGTGAACGGGCGAGACATGCAGTACTCGGAATTGGCTCATTGGATACTTAGTACAAGTGTAGCCATCTATGTGTAAAAACAATCGAACAAGACTCACAGTGGGCATGGCATGTACGTACATGCCATCCCTGGCGGCAGTGAGTTAATTAGGGATTTAGTTTATAGACTGACAAGAAAGTGACACGCTTAACAACTGTCTGTTTATAAGTATTACATAATATCTAATTGATAATAAAAAAAAAAAATATATATATATATATATATATATATATATATATATATATATATATATATATATAGTATTAGTAATGTATGATTTTAATAATATTCCACAACCGTTTCATGATGAAACGGGATAAAAAAATGAGTATTAAAGTAACATTGTTTTCGTTCATTGGATGCACAAAAATTTAGGTTAAATGGTAATTAACATCTCGTAGGAGGGGGGGGGGATATAAGGAAAATACAGTCATATCAAATATTTACACTCCTCTATATTAATTTCATTTATTTTGTCATTATTATACTTATTTTGAACATTCATTCTTTAACGAGTGGAGGGGGTGGGGGCAGTAAAACCCAAGTCTTTGTTTGCCCTCTTCAAAGTCTGTCTTCCTCCCTCCCCCCTAAGAGCCACACCCCAACAACTTTTAAAGCTAATTAAATTTGATTAAATATACTTACAAAGCAGAATAGACTGGTGCAGCAAATGCCCCCCCCCCCCCCTCCCATTGACGCCCCTGGGTATTATCGGTCTTTATATATCTTAATACTGTATATTTAGATACAGTAATACTAGATTTACCTCTTAACCAAAAGGTTCAAGAGCAGATGCTTGCTTGTATGTATTGTGTTCACATCTTTATTCTAGTACCACGGTACTCACTCATATATATATATATATATATATATATATATATATATATATATATATATATATATATATATAAGTGTACTGCAACAAGTGGTAGTAGAACTACAACAGCAACATATGAATAAATTTATATATATTATCCGTTAATACCACGGATAATATATATACGCCCCTTCCTGAATCGTCTACTCAGACTATAACTCCTGCACAATAATCTTCATTTTCTATCTCCTCCTTTATTACAATTATTCAACCTTATGGTCCAAAGTACTATCTCACTCCACACTACTCCCTTCTCCAGTCCTCACCCTCTACACTTTCCAGTTCTACAAATTTTTTGAGTACCCTATTTAGCCAAGTGGGAACATTTTTTTGTGGTTCCCCCAACAGCCATTTACGCAGACAATACCCTCCTCTTACATCAATGCCTCCAAAAACAAGTAGGCAGGCTTTCCTTCGTCCTGATGGCCCATGCCGTGTCACAGTTACGTGTCCCAAGCCCATCGACTATCTGCCCTGGTTGACCTCACCGGCAAACCTTTTCCTGCCCAACCCCACTCTTCCCTTAATACATATACTGGAATTGTTTCCACCTCCCAGGCTGATTACCCTGTCTGCAACAAATATTGGTCAGACTGCCTCATTGACTATGATGCAGTATCAGTACAGTGCTACACTATTCTTTAATATACTTTAATGTTTTTGAAACTTTACTTTCTCAACCTTAACTACCATTCCTCAAAGTTCGTGATTTCAACACCTACACTATTTTTTTTAAATTCAGGCTCAATGTGACTTGTGCACCTAAACTTTTTCATGCCTCATCCTTTCTTTTTTCTCTCCTTCCCTTCATCTAGACTTTCATTGGTCAGTTCTGGACCCACCTGGCTATACTGATTTCCTATTCTCTCCTATTTCCTGTGTCACACTCCCCAACCTCACACACTGGTGCTTTAATAGACTGGCATACTTTTACTTCTCTCTACTGTTCTCCCTGTTCCTCTATCTTTCTTATTTTCCACATTTGACATGCTTTTATATTTCACACTGTCCTGAGCGCTGCCTTTGCAGCCATTCCCCGAACTTCCCAGCCACACACATCAAAATGCTCCATGATGGAACACTTGAGTGCTCCAAAACACTTCCATTGAAGCATGCAACATTCAGTAGTAATAGTAACTAGAGAAATACCCCCAAGCAAACATCAGCTCTTATCAATTTTAAAAGAATAGTTCATCTGTGCCACACAAAACCAGTTGGCAAAATTACATCTCCACAATTACCTCTTCTACACCTAGTTCAACAGTAAGGTGTAGAATCCATGAACTATCTGGGAAACATCCCTTCATCCTGCCCCAGGCCTCCATATCCATAACACTCATTTCTGAACTATTACAAGTTGCTACTGAGCTTCTTGCATATTTCAGCCAGATCAGTAGCTCTCGCCTTTCTCCCCATTTCTGTTCCATTACACAGTCAAGGAACTTCCTCCCATCTTATCTTCTCCAGAGCCCATCAATGCCCACCTCTCTACTCAACTCGTTCTGCCATAACACTAAAATCATACATTACTGTATGCTTCATCTTCCATCTACCTTCTTATGACAATCTTCAATAACATTTGGACTACTACTCACCACTGAAGCACTTATCCTACCTTTCCTTAAACCTAGCAAATCCGCAACCCTCCCTCAAGACTACCATCCCATTTCTCTAACTAGTTGTCTGTGCAAGTTGCAAGAAAGAATGGTCAATCTATGCCTAACATGGTATCTTGAATCCAACATCCTTCTATCTTATCAATTTGGATTCCATCATGCTCAAAGTACAGTTGGCCCACTTTCACATTTAGAAAGTTACGTAACATCTGATTTTCACACCATGACTCGGTATTTACCACTTCTTCAACCAGGAAAAGGTATGTGATACTACGTGGTGAGAACACATATTGAAATAGCTATCATCCCATGGCATACGAGGGAACATCGGTGTATTCATTAAGTCATTCCTTTCCAATCGTACCATCACCTTTTCTTGAATATGAAGGTGTCCCACAAGAGAATGTACTTAGCACCACATTGCTCCTTCTAGCCATAAACGGCTAGATTTCGGTATTATCACCAGGTATCCGATCATCCCTGTATATAGATGATTTTATCATCTATACATCTGGCCCTTTTGTACTACTCTGTCAACTAATCCAATCTGCAATATCTTTAATCTCTTCCTGGGCCGCTTACATGACTTCTACTTTTTTACCTCTAAATACTTCTCCATCCTTTTATCTCAGTAAGGTATAGGTCCTCACCTCGACTTTATATGATACCCCTCTCCATTTCTCCTCAGGCAAATTCCTTGGAGTCATTTCTTGGCAAGTTACATCCTGTACATCAAAGAGAAAACCCACTGCTACCTCTGACTCCTATAGATTCTCATATATCATGGGATTTAGAATGCAAAACTCTCCTCCATCTCCATACTTCACTGATGCTCCTCACTCTTGACTACCCTTCTCGGGGTGGTTTTGCTGTAATCTCTCTTTCCTATACTTTCAACTTTCCGCTTCTTCCCAAATCCAGTGTCCCAACAACAGAATTGTATGCAGTTCATTAGAACGCATGTCTTCCCTCCCTCACTCATCCTTCACAATTTTCACCGACTCCAAAAACTCCTAATCTTTTATACAATCTCCACAACCACCTTCAAATATTATAGATCACATGGCCACCCCCGCCATTTCATAGATATTTCGTCAGTCACATCTGAAAAGTAAATAATGATAGATAAAAATCAAATATGATGTATAGGGCACTATCATGTATACATATATATAACAACCCTTCCTGACCAGGCCTCGAACCCAGGTCACTCACTATCATTACTCATATATGAGTAGATAAGTAATGTCTATGGAGTTAATTAGATTCTCGTTGCACACACCTTTTAGTGGGTCGCGTGGCATGGTTGGTTTAGTACCGGCCCTCCGGACTCCTACCCAGAGTGACCTAGGTTCGAGGCCTGGTTAGGGAGGGATGTTATAAATTTATATCAATGCGGCATTGCATTATTCCATCTTTCATATATATACACCTGTATATCTGTCTTCGGTTTCTAAATCAATTTAAGAACATTGTATCAACTAATTGGTAGGATTCACTGAAGCCCCCGGCAAGAAAAAAATATATATACTTATATTTATATATATGTATAATATGTATTTTTGATATTTTTTTCTGTCAACTACATGCTATATATTGCACGAGTAGGGTTCAAAATGTGTATGAACTATATAACCAATGATTCTAAATTAAAGGTTAAAAACTTTAAGCACATACGCACAATCAATGTATTCAATGTATTCACTGATAACAGCACAAGGTTAAAATAATCTGATCTCATGTACCACTATTTGCAAACATTTCTTATAAGATTTAGATTTTGCTGGTATCAGTTGAAACCTTATGAGCTCATTTACGTCTGATTTTTAAAAATCCGGACACCCATCCTCTCCCTCTATGGAGTTTCTCTCTGTTTATATATATATATATATATATATATATATATATATATATATATATATGTACATATATATATATATATATGTACACATACGCACACATATTTCTCTCTCTCTCTCTCTCTCTCTCTCTCTTGCATCGAAGGTATGCAACAGTTTAGGTCAACAGTGATATGTATGAAACATGGGAAACGAGGAAAAACATTTTTGAGGAGGGCACCCCCCCCCCTTCTTGAGGGAATTTCCACAGATTTAGTACAGAAAGGTTCTGAATGCTGAAATACACAAAATATCGAAATTATAAGACATTTTATAAGATTTTTTACCCACCGCACCCCCTTTCCCCCACTTATAATGAACTTCATACTTCAGATCTGCTACACTTCAAGAAATGGTGAAGCTTGGAGTTGATATCAGCAAATGGGAAAAGAGAAAGGGCATCAGTTCATATATCTTGAAACTGGACCTGGAACGTGATATGAAGCAGCACTTGATGTAAGTACCACATAGTGTAGGAAAATTCTGAAATCTAAAATCATCCTTAGCTGTATGGATAATAAAGTCATGAGGGTTCAGGTCAGGAGTGCAAGAAGGAAGCTGATAGATCTTAGCCTTTGTTCCTTCAGAAAGTCTACTCTGTAGTGTACCCTGTGCGTAGAGACTAGGTCCCGAGGATGAAGGGCTCACTGTCGCTACTAAATTTTTATTATTCCTTCAGTTTAAGACATGTTGTACACCAATGTGCAGTGACAGCAAACAGATTTTGAAGTTGAACAGAGATAGTGTTGCTCTGCATTTCAAAGAATGAACACTTCGGACTTTTTTATATATAAATATATAGAGTGAGGCGTTTGTTTGGGGGATTTAGAAACAACAGTTCGTTGTAAATTACCATAAACTTTCAATCGCTGCAAAGAATACTAAGCGCTACAGTAACGCTCATTTGTAAACCCTGACTCACACGAGTTTTTTGTGTTTCTGATTTTATATTTAAACACATTTAATATGACGTCATGTGCTAGTATATAAAAGTCTCCTATTAAATTATGAAATAACATATTTTCCAGTACTAGTCTAGCAGCTAGGCTTACGAGTCAAGAATCATGCCCTCATGGTTCTTCCCATTTAACCCATTGCCGCCGGGGATGGCATGTACGTACATGCCATGCCCACTGTGAGTCGACTTGTTCGATTGTTTTTACACATAGATGGCTACACTTGTACTAAGTATCCAATGAGCCAATTCCGAGTACTGCATGTCTCGCCCGTTCACCCTTTTCATCGATATGCGAAAATATTTAACGTTATCCTAATTTGCTGTTAAAAATAACACCATCTATATTTATAGCATTAGTTAAAATACGTTTTTTTCCCGCCAATTCAAGGAAAGGTGAAATCAGGACTAGCAGAACCATCTACGGACAGAGAGATTTCACAAAAATATAAAAAATGAGTACTGCATTTCCCCCATTTTTTGTTCATTTTCCCCGGCGGCAATGGGTTAACATCCTTTGCTTAGCTTATTACGTTATGAAATAGAAGTCAAGACGTGCCCACAAGCATTCCATTGATCGTAAAAGTTTTTATGGCAGAATCCATACTGAAAAATATTCCTTGGCATTTTACAAAAATAAAAGGATAAATAAAATAATGAACATTATTCTTGTAACAGTACAATTGTCCGACAGAAAATGTGTTGGATATGGTTCGATTAATACCGAAAAAATCTATCTAAACCCTCATCTTGCACAGATGCACTTCGCCTCGAAACATGACAGGTGACCGGACATGGATTTTAAGAACACATTTCAGTATTTATTTTATTTGTTCCTCTCTCTCTCTCCAATTAATCAATTGCCAGACCTACCTGCATCACTTGATTACCCCTTTCCTTGATTTTTGGAAATGTTATTTTGTATTTTGTATTGGAATTAGTGCTATTAATGATCATATAATCTTCACATTGTCAAGACCTTTATTAAAAAAGAGTATTATATACTTTATTTTTATATATTTTCTTTAACTTTTCACAGGTTCCTCCATCATCAAGGTGTAAAACCAGAGGATCTGGGACGCTGGCTCACCATAAATCCTCTTATATTTCGTGAAAGAATAGAAGATCTTGACTCTCGTATCAACTATCTAAGGGCGGTGAAATTTACCGATGGTGAAATTGCACGTTTGATATCACGCAATCCATATTGGCTGTTGTTTAGGTATGAAACCTTTGTCATGTTATTAGATTAGTAAGTTGGGAGCTTTTAGTTAAGTTACTGTTGAAGTTTAAATTCACCCAAATAATGTGAAACTGAAGTAAACGTACCACGCGCTAAAGAATGTTTATATATGACCGGAAAATAAGTAATCAAATCAACGTCTTTTTTGTGATTTTCCAGGGAGCGTTTTTATCTGTGCACAGCAATGTAGTAATAGTTATGTTGAAATTAAATTTTGATCGCAATGATATTGTTTCATTGTACGTTACAATTATAATAGATAAGTAGATCTTTATTTAGCTATTATCAGTAATAAGGGTTTCTGACTCTTTTTTTTCAACAATTAGTTAGCAGTTTGAATGTAATTTAAAAGTTAGATACTAAAAATAAATTTCAGATTGCATATGTATATTGCAATAATCGTAAACCATGTAGGTAATTTGAGAATGTGAAATCAGCCGATTCGGCTCACCATGGCCTTGATGTGAGGTACAGTCTTTTATGTAGTATTATTTGTACTGGTTAGTATTGAACCAAAAGTCTTAAAACCTTAAAGAATACGGTGAGGCTGAAACGGCCTAACAGAAATATAGTTTACAAATATAGTTTATAACATAGATCATAGTTAATGGGTAGCCTTGAAACTTATGTTGCAGTGTTAACGTTTTAAATCGGGCAATTACTGGTTATGCATTACAGGTTATCGCCTTATAGTTTATGGAGTACCCTTTGAATACTTTCCTGCCTCTGCGTGTTATATTTCATAGTATTAATAAGTTATTGTTTCAAAATAAACGGTTAGGCATTTTTCCCTTACCTTATAGCATTATTGTATTTACATTCTCAGCTTCTTAAAAAGTTATATTGCCTTCATCGTCATTCCAACGATAATAATTTATTTGTGTTCTAGATCGGCATTTCATCTGAGAATTAGGAATATTCTGTGCATAGCTTCCACTTAACTGCTGCGAGCATAAATGAAAACTTAAATTATTTACATACTTTTACAGCACTGTCAGAATTGACAACCGCCTTGGGTTTTTTCAACATTTGGGTGGCCTTAGTAGAGGTGAAGTTCGTGTCGTCGCAGTGAAAGAGCCGCGACTGATTACACACAGTCTTCATCACGTCAAGGTAATCTTTTCCTGGAAAGTGTGTTCAGATGCAAATAGCCAAAGGATTACTAGAGTTAACAGGAGCATTCATGATGGAAATATAAGCTAAATACATTTTGATTTTTTATGTTTTTCCATTCCAGAGAACATCCATTGCTGTTACCGAAGAGATGGGCTTTAGTAAGAATGAAATGAAAAGTCTGATATTATCTACTCCAAAACTATGGATTACTCGTAAGTAATTGGGGCATGCAATTAGGACTGCATTGGGACAGAAGCCCGAGGGCTCTCGCAGGGCCCGCAAAACTGTTTTTCCATATCCCTCTTGGTGATCCTGCCAGTAATTGTCAGTTTCACACTTTGTTTTTTTTTTCCCAAATCAGTCATTTTATTGGGAAATCTTCTCCATCGGTCTCTTATGTAAATGTGAACATTTGTAGTTTAAACAAGTATTGATATATATTTGATGGTATAATTATATATCTTGTTTTAAATTCTATCCTTACAGATGGGCCGTCATTACTCCGAAGGTTTGAATATTTGCACAACGAAATGGGATTATCACACAGTGTACTTGTAAAATTTCCAAAGATTTTACTGTCACGGGAATTCAGGATAAAGCAACGTCATCTTTATCTGAAGACTCTCGGCCGAGCCCAGTATGATCCTCACAAACCTAGTTATGTGTCTCCAGCTTCACTGGTGGAAGGCAGTGATACCCATTTTTGTAGTGACATTGCGAAAAGCACTATTCATGATTACAACATATTTCTGAAGACCCTTTAATTCGCTATTATTTATCTGTGTACATTTTGTCGCAAGAATGTAGACGCATCTCTTGTATTTACAAATAATTCAGAATAAAAAGGTCGAACAATTATGTACTTAGTATAACTTCCTTACCTTTAAGTCGGTAGAGAGTGAACTGATGAAAGTGAAACAAAAGAAACATATAAAAAGTTTTAAATAAAAGATAAAACAGGATTACTTATGGATATTATGCAAATCAATTTCATTCCAAGTTACGTTACAAACTATATGCCGCGAAAAATCATATGAATAAGTGAATAAATAAATGCGATTTTCTCCTTGTACTCATCTTTTAACCAAAATAAGTATTTTACACTTAACCTATTTCCGCCAGGGAAAATGAACAAAAAATGGGGGAAATGCAGTACTCATTTTTTATATTTTTGTGAAATCTCTCTGTCCGTAGATGGTTCTGCTAGTCCTGATTTCACCTTTCCTTGAATTGGCGGGAAAAAACGTATTTTTACTAGTGCTATAAATATAGATGGTGTTATTTTTAACAGCAAATTAGGATAACGTTAAATATTTTCGTAAATCGATGAAAAGGGTGAACGGGCGAGGCAGGCAGTACTCGTAATTAGCTCATTGGATACTTAGTACAAGTGTAGCCATCTATGTGTAAAAAACAATCGAACAAGTCGACTGACAGTGGGCATGGCATTTACGTACATGCCATCCCCGGCGGCAATGGGTTAACTTTATTATAGACACTGGTCTTGTCTTTGACATGATTAGTGATGTAAAAGGTTTTTTTACCAGTCAGATGATGTTTTAGTATTGTGATAATAGAACAGCCCTTCAGGCATGTATGTAACACTAATGTTTGACCAATGGCCCTCTACACAAATAGAAGCACAGCCAGTTTGGATAGATGCTTTGGTATCTTACCCTGGCTTCTTGCAGGGCATGTACACTGTTCTGTAAATAAATGTTATCAAATCAAATCAAATCAAATCTCTCTCCTCTCTCCCTCCCTCTCTTTCTCTCACATTCTGTAAGAGGCTGTGGGGGGCTTCATACAATGACTGGTTGGACAAGTGATACTTTGGCACGGCTCTACTCTTTATTGATGAATAGTACAACACAAATAATTGAATACATAATAATCGGCTAGCAAGCACTTAGTGCTCGGAGGGACGGAGACGGATATCCTGACAGAACGGTGACGGAGGGAGAACTATCTGACTGGGTCTAAAGGCACGAAGCGGCAAATCTCCACCGGAAACGTGGTGTGGGAAAACAGCTGCAGAACATCAGCTTCCTCATGGAGGGAGCAAAGCGAGGTCACACCCCATACTGCATATAGCTTTGGCTAGTCTGCTTATTGATATGCTATACTCTCTCTCTCTCTCTTTCTCGTGTTGAGCCTCTAGACTCTTCGACAAACGGGAAATAATTGCTCCTGTTTCCCAGGACATCTGTATGCTGAGTGGCCTTCCTCTTCCAGCACCCTCACAATAGATTGCGGTAACAAATGTCAAGCAAATGTGACCATGTTTTCGACAAAACAAGCAGGCTTCCACCTTTTTGGAATTTCTGTTGACTCTGGGGAAGTGACTCTACTTCTGCTGGAAAGGCTGACTTTTCCTCTGGTAAAGTGTGAGTTTGATTGTCATTTTTCTCAAGGTCATAAATCCCGAATTCTCGGAGAATATCATAGCTCATAGGAATTATTCGAAAAAGGCCAAGAAAGGCCCATTGAAAGTGACATTCATAAACATACAAATGCTAACTGATATCATAGGGCGTCTTTTTGTGCGTACCATAAAAGTTAATCCAGTATTAAAGTTTATGCTAGATCTCTACACAGATACCTGCTTTTTCATGTAAAACAGCAGAGTTACAGACAATCATCGTGCGCCTGGCAGTGTGTCTTGCATTTTATGTGCAAATAGTGTGGATCTGAATTAACTTTAATCCGGAACTAGCTTTTATGACGAGTACAGAAGACGCCTATAAAGTCCTAGCTACCCACCAGAAAAAAAATAATTTGGAGGGTTAGAAGCCTCCACGCAGAACAAGTCTGCTGCCGGGACCAAACATTAAATTTACAGTCAGAAGGAATATCGAAAAATTATTTAGAACTAGTTATAGATATTTAGATTGTTTATCCTCAATGCTACTAGACCTCGATACAATAATTGAAATGAATAAACGGGATGTAATATGTAGGCCTATCACTGGATCCAAACTGGACCCTCATATACAATGTGACATTAGGACTCAAAGTGTAAAATATCTGGAGAAAAGATCGGGTAAATGGTAACGGAGGGGGAGTAGCAACTGAGGTAAACAATAATAACCGTAGTGTACGTGCCACTTTATACACCGATATGGTCACAAGAAAATTACCAAAAACCCAACTTAAGAAACGTTAACGATCCTAAAGTGTTACTAGTACCGGAAACAAATGCACAAGAAATTCTTGTAACAGGGAAGTTTAATAGCAAGCACACCTAGATTCGTGGAATGCAAAACTACTAGAAATCATGAGTAATGTTTTTTTCCAAAATGTAACGGATAATACCAGAATATGAGGGCAAGACAGACCGTCACTTGGCTTAATATTCACAACTCATAAATATTATATTAAGGATAGGGAGTACTGTCCTCCTCTGGGAAAAAGTGCCATTTAGTAATTAAACTAAAATACCGTCTACTACTGGGAAAATAAGATTTGTAAATGAGGAAAGAAAAGGACAGTATATCTACAAAAGAAGTAATTATAGAAGACATACAGAGTTATTTGATGGCATAACCGGAGAAACAACTCTGGAAGAAAAGAACATTCATGTACAATATTAAATATTTTGCGAAGCCTATAAGAAAGGAGTATACAGATTTGTAACAAAATTCTAAACGGAAGCAAAAAATGGTCAAAGTAGTGATGGAAGCAAGAAAACGAGAAATCAACTCGCTCTTTTAGAAAACGTCCAAAAGACATAGATCTCAAGCTACCTATGAAAGATATAAAGTAGAACGAAATCATTATACCCAAACCATGAGGGAGACGAAATTAGACTTTGAAAAGGATAAAATTTTAAAAAAATGTACGAATCGACCAAAGCTCTTCTTTAACTACATAAATGGTAACACTAAAAGTAGAGATCACATTATCACCATCCAGGACAACACTGTCTATACTACGGAGTAGTAATGAGGTGAAATCTCTAATGATAAATCTCAGTCAGTGTTTGTTCAGGAAAGAGAAAGAATATCGATAACATCATACTCAAAAAAAAAAAGAAAAAAAAGTAAAGTCTTGAAGTATAAGCTTGGAAACTTTACAATACATCTTTATGTAAGAGCGTAGATAAGCAAAACCTAAATTATAGCCCTGCTTCGTTAATCAGTTTAATTTATAAGCTTATAGATAGTATAATTAGGAAACAATGGTTTGAAGTACTTGGAAAACAATATGATATCATATGAGCAATTTGATTTTGAGGAGGGTAAGCCATATATAGCATACGTTTCTGAAATATTTAAAAAAAGAGATGGTCGAGTGAATTGTGCATGTTTGACGCAGGTATAACGCATGAGACTATCTTGGAAATTAGAACACCTAGGCGGAGTGAAAGGCAGACTCCTCGAAAGGATGAAGAACTTCATACAGGAAAGACTTAAGAGGCTGAACACAATAACTGGAGGGAAACACTCTACTAGGAGACGCGTAACAAGCGGAGTACCTAAAGGGTCAATCTTGACTCCGGTTGTTTACTTTTTTCATCAATAATTTTGCTTCAAATATAAACCCAAGTGGCCATTTAAGTATCTTTATAGAAGAC